CGATGATATTCAACAGAAAACATGCATAAATATCCGCCACAAATAGATCATGTCATTCTCTCCTGAATTGATCTAATTTTCATAATGTTAGTAAATGTAATGATAAAGTAATCTTATTTTGAATATTAGATTTCGTTCAAAGTAAAACTAAATTATAAAGAACCTCGAAAGTTTTTCGTAATAGAACTCAGTTTTAGTGTAGCGTCCTACACTGAAAGAGATACGAACAACAACTCCACATACTGACGGCAAGCGGTAAATCTAGTCTTCTCGACGCCCGACTGTCCCGGATTTTTGGCAATTTCTTTTTTACTGGTGCACAGAATTTATTCAAACTTTTCATGAACATTTTCTTGGTTTAAATGAATTCATTAATGCATAAACACTTTAGAAAATATGCGTATTCATTACTAATTCAGCAGTATCACCTGCCAAAAGCAGTAAAACTAGTACCCTGTTATAAATGTTAAAACCTAGAACGGACAACGTTGTTTTCGTAAAATTGCGATTAAAAAAACGAAACGAAGTATATATTTTTTTTAATAAAAAGAGAACATCATTTACTTGCCAGATAATTTGTAGGCACACAAACTCTCACATATACCACTGTTTTTATGTTTGGTCAATAAATTTGTTTTTAACTTGGTATTGCTTTTTTCTTCACAATATTAAAAAAGATTAAGTTCTGACGTACTCCATGTATAATCTTCGTGTAATCGAAATACATTTATATTCACAGAGAAGTTTTATATAGAAAACTGTTAGCTCTTAAAAGGATGCTGTGTTAAAATCCACATTTTATCAACATTGGTATTATATTCCTGCGAAATTGAAATTTTCATAACACATGGTAAAGGTGCAAAGGAAAAATATATTACAAATTTGTGACTGTGAGCAGTGAATTATATAAATGATCAACTGCCTCTAATATAAATATAATGGCAGTGTCTATGTTTTGCAATGGGAAACCCAAAATATGTATAGCATGAAAAAGTAATAGAGGAAGCACAACCGCAATATGCAATAAAGATTCTATTAAAATTTCGTTAAGTGGTGTAAGAGGAGTTGCGGATAAGAGATGGGTATACCTATAGCGTAACAAACAGATGGACGGAAATCCCGATTAATAAATACCCTCCCGCTTTTCAAGCAGGGGGTATAAAAAAAGAACTAATGTAGGCAGGCAAGCATTATGGCCCATGCATTATTTTTGCTATTCGTTGTCTCTGAATGTCTTTCTCAAGACTGTTGCAACTCAAAAAATCTGAAACAGTTGTCTGTATTTGAAATAATAATATTGTTCACTCACTTAACGATCACAGATTTTATTTTACACCATGTTCAACTCCCATGAGTGCTTTCAGTACTTTGATTTTAATTAGGGATGTCAAATCGGTCAATTTCTCGGACGTTTTTCCGATCGAGTACCCGGGTACTCGGTAAAATTGTAAATAAATATGAACAAGTAAATTGATGAATATATAACATTGTAAACTCTTGTAGAAATAAAACCACATGCTCTGATAGGAGGTTTACCCGTAAGTGTGTTTTTGTTGTAACAATGATGAGCACGTCGTGCCCGATGAAATTTAATATAACATTATTTATGTTCAATTCATTTATCAGATAAACACAAGAAATAAAATCAAAAGTGGTTCACAGAGATTGTGTTTACAAAAAATTAATCTGCTCCGTATATTGTAATGTATAATTGTTGCGTTTGACGTCCAAGTATCAGTCGTATAGTTTGACTTTGAATTGATCAAGTTCGCCTAAAAGAGCGGATTTACGGATTTTAGTACACTTTTCGATCATCGATAGTATTTTATAGCATTATTGGACGTTATTTTGTAGAGTTGTGCAATGATGGACATCACTTTTTTAAAGCCTTTGGCTTCAGCCATTTGTATAAGCAGGTAATCAAAGACAACCATATCAACAATCGCGCGTGCAATATCTTCTGTCTCTTTTCTTACAGTACTTAGAAGAAGAAACAATCGAAAGGATGGATTGGCCAGCAAAATCACCTGACCTGAATCCAATAGAGCATGCATGGGACATGCTCCAGAAGCAAATTTTAGGAAGGCAAAACCAACCAAGCACGCTCCGTGAACTTGAGTTTCCTCTTGTTGAGGAATGGTCAAGAATTCCACAGGATCAGGGGCGGATACAGGATTTGTGGTTAGGGGGGGGGGCGTGGATAACTTTGTTGAGGCAAGGGGTCTGGGGGCCGCCTTAAGGCCCCCAGTGGGTCCAGGGCGAAGCCCTGGTGGGGGCCCAGGGGGCGAAGCCCCCGGAAGCTCCTGGGTTTTCGTGTATTTTAGAGTAAAACCAGACACTATAATAGTGCATATTTTTCATTTTTTTTTGTTAAAAGTGGCATATAGGTTCGGATGTTTGAATGATAATATTGTATTGAATGTTTCTCAGTTCTCATTGTATTGTAACACATGCCACCATAATAAACGATTTACCTACTTAGTACTTACTAACAGTGGTATTGGTTAGTGATGTACCAAAGTACGCCGTGTTTAATACTAGTTATATCATACTTTGAATGGGGGGACCAGGGGGCGCAGCCCCCGGAAGCTCCTGGATTTTTGAGTATTTTAAGAGTAAAACCAGGCAGAATAACAGTGGTTTGGTTGGTTTTGTACCAAAATGTGGCATTATAAATATTAGTCACATCATACTTTGAAAATTTTAGGGGGGGGGGGGGGCGTGCCCCCCACGCCCCCCCCCCCCCTTAAATCCGCTAGTGAGGATAACTTCCGAAATTTAATCAACAGTTTTCAAATCGATGTAGGGAAGAAATTCGGGCTAGAGGCGGTCATACAAGACACTGAAAGTATAACATTTGGACTTTCCAGGTTAATTAAAACCTTGAAAACACGACTGTTGTTTCCTCATGAAATCTTGTATTGATGAATATTCTTGTTGTTTTGACAGTTACATGTTGTTACATGTTGTTCATTTGTTTATTATATGATTGTTTACTTTTAAAATGTTATTTGTTTCCATCACCTTTACAATATATGTTGCTAAAATTAAAATTCTCAAGTTGGCCCTTAACTTATTTTGCTGAGTGTATATGTACTACGTAGACAAAAATGCAATAAATCCCTTTCTTTAAACAATAAATTATAATACAACTTCATAAAAAATGCTTAAAGTTAAATATTCATGAAAACGAAAGTAAGCATTTAAAATCTCAAATGCAATGGTCCAAATTTTCTCAGCTTATGAAATAATCAATTAAAAATCTAGACAACACTGAATAACCTGTCATGTTTAGCCATAAGTGGGTATTCAGATCGACAGATATACGAAAACTTTATTCGCTATTAAAAGTCGATGGCAACATCTACAACAAGAATTGAACAATATTTCACGCGAAGAAATTCGAGCTTGTGTGTAAAGAATGGGAAGAAGATGTAACACCTGCGTTGCAAAATTGGTGGATTCACACCTTTTTACGTTCACTCTTTCTATTTATGACTAGAAAAAATGCCTACTTTGTGATTTTTAACTTAATTGTGACATGCAAGTAAGGGCTAAATAAATGCTTGTAAATAGCTCTAATATATGCGTTTATACCCGACCAACTTTTTTTCTTATGTTTTATTTTCTATATTTTTTTTTCTTTAGTAGAATAAAGTCAGAAGAATGGGGTCTGTTTTTGACATAGTTTTATTATTTTTTTTTTCTAAAATTTTACTTTAAAGTATCGAACTGAGATTGGGTACACAGAATAGAAGGATATGGAGACAACGAAAAGTATTAAATCTCAAAGCAAATTAATTTTGTTTTGTAAAATTTAAACAGTGGAAATTTAAGAAAATAAATTGAGTATTTATATATGTTTGTCTGAATATCAAATATTAAAGTTTTTTTTAGCTCACCTGAGCCGAAGGCTCAAATGAGCTTTTCTGATCAAAATTTGTCCGTTGTCTGTCGTTGTTGTCGTTGTCGTTGTTGTCGTAGTCGTTGTCGTTGTAAACTTTTCACATTTTCATCTTCTTCTCAAGAACCACTGGGCCAATTTCAACCAAACTTGCTACAAAGTATCCTTGGGTAAAGGGGATTCAAGTTTGTTTAAATGAAGGGCCACACCCTTTTCAAAGGGAGATAATTCGAATTAGAGAAAAATTATCGGCATTTTTAAAAAAAAAAAATAAAAAATCTTCTCAGGAACCACTGGGCCAGGAAAGATAAAACTCATACGGAATCATCCTCAGGTAGTGTAGATTCAATTTTGTTCAAATCATGACCCCCGGGGCTAGGGTAGGGCCAAAATGGCCGACCAAAGTTTAACATAGGAATATATGGGAAAAATCTTTAAAAATCTTCTTCTCAAGAACCACTGGGCCAGGAAAGATGAAACTCATGGGGAATCATCCTAAGGTAGTGTAGATTCAAGTTTGTTCAAATCATGACCCCCGGGGCTAGGGTGGGGCCAAAATGGCCTACCAAAGTTTTACTTTAATCTTTAAAAATCTTCTTCTCAAGAACCACTGGGCCAGGAAAGATGAAACTCATGTGGAATTATCCTCAGGTAGTGTAGCTTCAAGTTTGTTCAAATCATGACCCCTGGGGCTAGGGTGGGGCCAAAATGGCCGACCAAAATTTTACATAGGGATATATAGGGAAACCTTTAAAAATCTTCTTTTCAAGTACTTCAAAGCCATGATTAGTAATATGTTTCTATTCAAATGGAATCATCCTCAGGTAGTGTAGATTCTATTTTTTTTTTCAAATCATGACCCCTTGGGAGGTTAAAATTCAAGCCCCCCCCCTCCCCAGTAAACTTTCAGTTCTGATCTGATATGTGCTTTTTTTCTAGCCGATGTGCTCAGGTGAGCGCTGTGGCCCCTGGGCCTCTTGTTTCTAATTTGGGCGCATGTCAGAAATTCTCATTTTCTCTAAAACTAACATTGTAACAACAAATTTGCAATACTAGTACATGAATCTGTGAAATACTTAAGCTTGTGATATCATACCAAGATCCAAAATTATTTCTGCAGGGAATGTTTGTCCACACTCCAAGAAGATGTTTATCCATGTGAACCACCATTCTAACATTTTTGCTAAAGTGATGGTGAATTGTTCCGCACACTCCAATTGTGATATTCCCAGGAATAAGCACAGGGGAAGGAGATACCGAGATAGATGTAAACGTCACATATGGATGTGCAGTGGTTGAAGCTGAATCCAAATAAAAGTTTGTAACGACTTAATTTGATATACAACAAGAGGCCAATGGGCCACATCGCTCACCTGAGCACTGTGGCTAGTAAAAGTATAGATTGGTTTATTATTGAAAAGGTAAAATTCAAAAGTAGTCCCATGAACAATCATGGATTTTCTATCTTTGAGAAGATGATTTTTAAAGAATTTTCCTATGTATTTCTATCTAAAACTTTGGTCGGCCATTTTGGCCCCTCCCTACCCCCGGGGGTCATGATTTGAACAAACTTGAATCTACACTACCTGAGGATGCTTCCATATAAATATGATGAATTATGGCTTGGTCATTCTTGAGAAGAAGATTTTTAAAGAATTTTCCTATATATTTCTATGTAAAACTTTGGTCGGCCATTTTGGCCCCGCCCTACCCCCGGAGGTCATGATTTGAACAAACTTGAATCTACACTACCTGAGGATGCTTCCATATAAATATGATGAATTATGGCTTGGTCATTCTTGAGAAGAAGATTTTTAAAGAATTTTCCTATATATTCCTTTGTTAAACTTTGATCGGCCATTTTGGCCCCGCCCTACCCCCGGAGGTCATGATTTGAACAAACTTGAATCTACACTACCTGAGGATGCTTCCATATAATTATGATGAATTATGGCTTGGTCATTCTTGAGAAGAAAATTTTTAAAGAAATTTCCTATATATTTCTATGTAAAACTTTGGTCGGCCATTTTGGCCCCGCCCTACTCCCGGGGGTCATGATTTGAACAAACTTGAATCTACACTACCTGAGGATGCTTTTATATAAATATGATGAATTATGGCTTGGTCATTCTTGAGTAGAAGATTTTTAAAGAATTTCCCTATACATTTCTATGTAAATCTTTGGTCGGGCATTTTGTCCCCGCCCTACCCCCGGGGGTCATGATTTGAACAAAATTGAATCTACACTACCTGAGGATGATTCCCCATAAGTTTCATCTTTCCTGGCACAGTGGTTCTTGAGAAGAAGATTTTTAAAACATGCCACCAAATTTTCATTAATTGCCAATTATTTCCCCTTGAATGAGGGCGTGGCCCTTCATTTGAACAAACTTCAATCCCCTTTACCGAAGGATGCTTTGTGGCAAGTTTGGTTGAAATTGGCCCAGTGGTTCTTGAGAAGAAGTCGAAAATGTGAAAAGTTTACAGACAGACGGACAGACAGACGGACAGACAGACGCCGGACAAAATGTGATCAGAAAAGCTCACTTGAGCCTTCGGCTCAGGTGAGCTAAAAATCATGTGAAATGATGACTGCACTTAATTGCGTGAAAATAAACATTCAAAACAAACATTTTTCTTTTAATTGCAGAGATGATCGACATCTTATCTACAACTTGACTTAATTACAATCAATAAAATATGTATCTACGATGTACGAATCCGTTTTCTGATGTGTGAGTCATCACAAGTTCTGCAATCTCCGTTCCATAATGAGGACACCCACATTTTTACTGACGTTATACATTGTCAGCGCATGTTTGTTTATTCTTCTCCTTTTAACGGCACTTGTATATCTGCATTTTTAATCTTGTGTTAATAGGAAATTAAAAGACACACATGCGGTCATGGTTTAAAAGAAAAAAATGCTTCTTTCTACACTCGTTCTCTCTGTTGTAACCAAGGGCCGTGACACGTTGAATATTAAAATTTACCACGTTGGAAAACCGTAAGGACAAAAAACATTAATTAGTTATTGCATTTCAATCTAAAATCATTTTAAACATTTCTGTTGGGTGTCTAATTGACAGACTACTGGGGTAAATACATAAAAGTGAATTTAAGTCAAGATTGAAAAGCAACAGAAGCAACCAAAAAAAGATCCAAAACACAGCGTAAAGTGTAGTCATCCTTTAAGAATAATTAACTAAAACTTCATACAAATTCTCAAAACGAGTAAAATATGAATTGTCAGAACAAAATAGTACATCTCAGAACTATGTATAATTGTATAATTGGTGTTATGATTACAAAATGTCCAAAACCTTCTGGGGACCAAGCTCTTCTTGTCATTATGGTGTCACGATGATGGTTTTTCAGAACATCAATAAAAATACTTCCATCATTAGTTAAAAATAGAGTATTAAAAGATTGAGGGGCAATATGATAACCTTTTATCTTTCTGTATTTAATAATCCAGAAATGAAAAAGAATTTGAAAGATTACATGATCAGTACGTACTGGTCCCTGTCGACAAAGCACGTAACAACACTGCATGTCTTCGTTTGTAAGGCTCATTATATAAACTGTATTTTAAAATAGCTTGGATTTAATTCTACAAGTGGTAATCCTACTTAGGACTTATACGAGTAGCACTGACTTTTACAATTGCTTTTACGATATAGATATTTAGTTTAATCATCAAACGGTAATCAAAGCGTAAATTAGCTGTCCTTAAAGAAAACGACAACCACCCTAACCTCAACTCCCAGACTTCACATGTTAGTGCCCCTAACAACATTAGGAGTATTACCTATGACCACTAGAAAGGTGTTGTTTTCTATTATCAATTCTGTACCTCCATACATGATGCAGGTTTAAATGTCAAGTATACCGTCAACTGTGAAAGTCAGTTCTTCTCGTAAAAATCCTATACTCATACCTACCTTTCTAAGGAAGAAATTCTTCAAAATCAGTTTTAAATATTTTTAATATTCCACAGAGCCGAAATGAATTTTAACTACCCTATATATATTGGATTCCGAAACTTCATAAAAATCCTTTCAAACAAAGATACATTGCGGGTTCCAGTAAATGTTCAACCAAGCCTCTTTCGTTACTCTTCACTAAGATATTGACAGTAGTGAAGGAAAAACTTCAAGAGTACTGTGCAACAATATATTTCAGAAGTGGTGTGAATAAGATGTGATAATAAAAAATTCCAGACATCTTTCAGACGATTTGAAATCACAAGATTTTTTTTGAATTTTTAACTATTGAAATATATGGAAAATATGTCGATTATAAGCCAATTTGGTGAAAATAGTTTCTTTCAAAAAGGTCGGAGAACAAAAGTCTAAAATGGTGCAAACTCAGATTCATGACGTAACGTCATAATTATTTTTACTTGTAACGTAATGAGCTAAAGGTAGGCCCATAAAGGCCAATGGCACTTAACGTTTTTTTTAAGAAAGGCCAATATAGGCCCGCAGCACAAAGAATGTTAATCTACTTGATTCGTACAGACTTGAAGTCATTTGCAGAGAATCAAACGTGGGAAACAACGCAACGTTGGCTTTATGATGAAATTGACGTCATAATCTAATGTGCACAAAACTGCTCGAATCATCAATATTGTGTACCAAAATTCATGACAAAATCAAACCCGCCATCAAACTCAAAAACAGCTTCAAAATTTTACATATTTTAAATGTAACGTCAATGAGATTGATAAGTTTTTGACGTGAGTCATTGTGACGTAAGCAAACCGGGTTATTCAATTTGTCTTATTATTCAAACCCAACAGCAAATCCGTTGATTGCGCGTATAGCATTTATGATGTCCCAGAGAACTTACGTCGAACGTAAATGACTTTGAGGAACCTGTATTTATACAGTTACAATTAACTTCTAGTTAAACATTGTAACACGTCATTTGATTGGATAGATTTTATCCATTTTGCATAATATAACTTGCATACTTCACAATGATCTTGATTAACGTCAAAACCGTCTTACTCCGCTTGACGTCATTTTTAAAATATGCTAATTTGAAGCTCTTTTCTTATTTCTTATTTCTTATTGTCTACACTGAAATTAAATTATAAGAAGGATATGGAGGAACGTGCAGTATTCAATTGCAAAGTCCATAAAACAATACAAAATAGGAGCAGAGCAAACACGGACCTCCGAAACATCAGAGGTGGGATCAGGTGCCATGGATGAGTGAGAATCCCCTGTTGACCGGTCACACCCACTGTGTGTTCCTTGTTATGATCAGGAAATAACGGAAAAAATCTGTCGTCAATTCAGTGTATACATAATGGACAAACAATAAGTATGAAAAACCTCAGTCAGCATTTGTCTTAATGATAAATTGTATTTACTGACAAGGTCATTGTTTCGACCATAGAACTTACGAAATGATGACTGTACGTTGATATTCTTGTTTTATCTACTTGCTTTTCAATAACTTACCTCGTATTAGAATTTTTTTAAATGTAGAGCATTCTTTTGCGTATCGAATCAACTTAGATATATAAACTCCATATGCAGGTCATGAACAAATATTGCTGCATAAGTAAGGGAAATTCATACATACATATATATATATATATATATATATATATATATATATATATATATATATATATATATATATATATATATATATATATATATATATATGAATCTTTTAAAATCTTTTAGCAATGGAGACTGCTTAAACGTACATCGTGAATAATATATATATATATATATATATATATATATATATATATATATATATATATATATATATATATATATATATATATAGCACTAAAAAACCAACAACACTGTATATCCTAAATGTCGGATCTACCAAGTAGATACAAGGTCACGGATGGAAATTTATATAAAGCACTAAAATGACCAACGACACGAACAATAAAAATTGTCAAATTTTCGGGACGCCCTGTCCCTTCCTCAGGACAAAGAAAAAAGTTAAAAAGTCATAAAAACAAAGGAAAAAGAGAAACAAAAAGAACTAGCACTACTACTAAACTAATAAACACTAGATATTTACATAATTACATGTTGAATTGGAAATATTAAGAACACTAATAAAGAAAGAAATCCGGACCGCTGTGAAATGCGTCCGGTCTATCGGGTATACTCGGGTGAAGTGCGATTTACATAATTGAACGAATTAATTATGCTAATTAATTACGATAATCAGTAAATCGTACATTATTTCATTATCTCGAAATGGCGTAACTTTACTTAATAAAGAATAATCAAAGAAAATAATATAGCAGGGATAT